AAATTTTTATTTGAAAAAACATATTTTTAAGCTTCAGGCATAACTGACAATAAGGCTTCAGGCATAACTGTCCCGTAATACCCCGCTCTACTTTACGTCTTGTTTCATTCCAACCAGCAGAAAAATAATATACCTAGCATCCTATTTTTACAAAAGATTGATAACATAAACATCAAAAGAACTGTACCAATTAAATTTTTTGGCAAAATTGACGAAACAATTTTGGAAAGCCCTAATAAAAATGAAAAGTAGGGCGGGGTATATCCTCTTGTATCTCAGCTAAAAATTATTATTTTTCAAAAACTTTTTTAATAAAACATTTTAAACTATTGCGCTTCATTATTGTAAAAAAAAAATTAGTTTCAGAAATAACAATATGCATTAAAAGTACCAAAATGCATAAGTAAATTTGCGAAAAATAAGATTTGCGTATTTTTTATTTTTGCGTATAAAAGATTTATCTTGAACTATTGCTAATTTGCTTTATTATTAAAAAGTTTATTTTTTTCAGACAGTATTTTTTATTCTCTTTTAGAATCTGGTTTTAAAAAGTATATTTGAATTTGAACTTTTTGTATTGTATTAATTTCAGTAAAATGACTTTTGTGGGGCATATCAAGACAACAGGTTATTTATATAATTGACTATATTACTATCAGTTCGTGATGCTGTTTACAGTTTGGTGATTGTATTTATAATCGAAAACATCATTTTCCTTATTTAGAAAAGCATAATTAGTAATAAATTCAAAGTAGTTGTTATTTTTATAACTTAACTTCGATTAATAATAATCGATATGAAATTGTGTTTAATGTAAACAACGATGGTAAGAAATTATATAAGAAAGATAAATCATCCAAAATGGGATGAAATGTAGTTAAAGCTGTGAGTAAAATAGAACTTAGAACTAGAAAAGCTGCATATGGCATATTTGATACATATGATACATATGGCATATTTAAGTTTGTTCTATATTGGCATATTGCTAAAAAGCCAGCTCACCAAAAATATTTTCAAATAGTTTCAGGATATTTTTTGTTTGATTTATTTGATCCATATTATTTTTTGTTTAATTTTAGATATAGAATAAAATACAAATTTTTTTATTTATTTTAGTTGTTATTTCTTTTTTGCGGTGAATAGGTGTATGGGCGTGTAGTTTATATGGGGTATGTTACTTTTTCGAAAGTTCATTGACAGAATATGTTTAAATAATAGATAGCCTTCATTTTTATCATTTTTAAAGCTTTACAATTAACGAATAATCGCTGGTTTTTAACTGTCCCGTTTTATCACACCCGATCGTAAAAATGTGAAAATTTTGCTAGTCTGGAGTTTCGTTACTTTTTTTTTTTGTTTTTTCGTTTTCTTACATCAATGAATTTTAGGAAGTTTATAAAAAACTAATAACTATGATTAATTTAACCGCAACTAGCATTTGTTTCTTAAGTGTCCTATATGCTCCACTCTACCATAATAATTTTCAAATCAATTCCAATTGACAAATTACTAATTTGGATAATCTTATTGCCCTCAAGAAAAAACTCAATGATCTCATAATAAACAAAAGCAATTTTATCGATATGTATTATATGTATTAAATGTTAAAGATAAATAATATTGATAACAATTAAAATAAAATAAATAAATAAATAAGTTAAAAATATAAATAAAATAATAATAATAATAAGTAAAGTTAACAACTATACACAGTAAAATATTATTGAACAGGAAACCTCAAAAGGTTAATGTGTGTCTTGTAAATATACATTTAAAACTTTTAGTTTTTTTGTAACTTAAAGGTTCTCGATGATAAGGATTCCTGCAATCTTCTACGAGTTTCCTTAGAACTAGATTGTTTTGATATATATATATATATATATATATATATATATATATATATATATATATATATATATATATATATATATATATATATATATATATATATATATATATATATATATATATATATATTTATACTAATTTACATGGCCTATTTCCAAATATTAGTGTATGCTTGAGAATATTCTTAACAATTCCTGCTACAGTTGCATCCGCTGAACGCTCTTTCAGCAAACTAAAACCGATTAAAAACTTTTTAAGAACTACAATGCCACAAGGACGGTTAGTGGATTTGGCAATTTTGAGTCTCGAATCTTCAATATCTAGGTCAATTGATTTTGACAAAGTTATTCGAAAGTTCGCTTCAAAAAAGCAAGAAAAGCACCTTTGTTTTGTAAATGAACTATTCCTGGAATAAACTATTTGTTAAAATTCTGTTTTTATTAGTACTTTTATATTTGTTGAGATTGATTATTGTATTATTGAACATGGTTGAAACGTAACAAATAGTCTAAAATTTTATTTCAGAAATATCCTTTAATCCAATAATGAAAGAAAAACTAATTACCGTAAGATTGGGTGGCTTTGGCCCATTTTGCATCTTAATGTCTATTGCATGAAAGCCACAAAAGTTATTTCCTCAAACACTAAGTACTTTTAGAAGCGCATAGAAAGGAAAGTTAGAACTATCTGTCTCCCATTTGAAAATTATTTATCTGAAGTATCTTTTGGGTGGTTTAAATGGTGGGCTAAAGTTGCCCTATGTGTTGGGTGACTTTGGCCCAACCCTGTAAAAAGGAATTAAAGGAAGCAAAACAACAAAAACAACAATATTTAGGCAAAGAAAATAAATTTACAAAAATAAAGTGACAAAAAAAGATTTAGTAACAAAGTTCTTGTATACAGTAAATAAAATATAGGTACAAACTAAACAAGTATAGGTACCAAGTAAACAAACAGTTTAGGTATAAAGTAAACAAAAATGACAAAAATAATGTTTTAAAAAATTTAGTGAAAAAGTTCTGAAACTGAATAAATTCCTCTTTTCGAAATTTTCTTTGGTTCCTCAATAAAATCGACTATTTCAGACTGGGAAAAAAAAAGTTGCTCTGCTGGTGTGACCATTTCCAGTTAAATCCATTTTTTTTCATAATAGTAATTTCTGCTCCATTTTTTCTTAACTTTTTCAACTGCAGGAAAAAAAATTTCAAAAGTTTCATTAAATAATATTAGTTATTTAATTAATTAGTTATAAAGTTTACTAATTGATAAGCTAAATATAAAATAAATAAACAAATCTGTCCAGGATTTTACTCTCCATTGCATTTACCAATTACATAACAATTCTCTACAAGATTTAACAATTTCTCCTTTTTACAAGCATTTTTTGTTTTATTAATATTTTGAAAGTTCTTTTTGCCTAATGCTGAATGATCTAAAGATTCTGTATGACTTTCTACAACTAAACTTACATCTGCAAAAATTAGATTAGAAGTCTCAGTAGTTCCAGTATTTGTACTTGGACCAGCAAAGTCAATGTTGTTGGTCTCAATTGTATTTATAATACTGATAGGTGTATCTACATTATTTGAAATTAATCTATTATTTTTATTTATAACACAAGGTGATATATTTGTTGAACATAAGCTTTTACCTGGGACAATTGTCCCAGGTAAAAGCTTATGCTTATGTTCAAGCGATGTAAAGTATGTGTTAACACATACTTTACATCGCTTTGGTTTTTTAGAACCATCTGAGGGATCATCCAGTGACTTACATAAATGATCTAAAAATGATTGGCTTACTAAATCAGTAGTTGAGTCTAAACCTACATTACAACATGGTAGTCGTGAAAGCACTTGAGACTTGTCTAATGGAAAAATTCCAGTTTTGCGAAAACCAATTCTAAGTGATCATTCCCATGTTCACTTAAGTTGGTCGTTAAACAGTCTAAAAGTCTAGGAAATTCATCTTTAGGAAAAGAAGCAACTCTTTTTTCCTTTTCCTTTCTCCTTCCATTTACATAATATTTTGCGCCAGTTAATCTTCATAGGTCTAAAGCAGGCAACATCTAATGGCTGCGTGAGATGTGTAGAGTTTGCTGGTTATGCCACAAATCCTATGTTATTGCTTTGACATGAATCCAGTACTGCAATGCTCAAATGTGAAGATACGTTATCACCTATAATGACACTTCTTCCTTGAGCCTTCTTCAGTCTTGGAAGAAGTAAAAAGAAAAACCAGTCCTCAAAACATATTGAGTCAAACCAACCACTTTTTGATCTGTTATAACGTGCTTTTGGTGGCCCATGTTCCATCCATGTATTCCATAATGACTCAGCTTTGTAAACAACATAAGGTGGTAGCAATTCACCATTTGCATTATCACAAAACATTACAGAGAATGAGGTCTTTGTAAAATTAATGATGCGTTCAGGATACTTACATCCACGCTTAGTTAATTTTTTTTTTTAACCTGGATTATCACTGAGATTGGTTTCATCATAATTTCATATATTATCAGGTGATATATTACTTATTTCATTTGATAGATTTATAAAGTAGTTATCAATCATATTCGTTCCTATTTCTGCTCTCTTTCGCTTTATGTTGCTTGCAAATCTTATTGTGAGTTCTGGATTTCTTTTTAAAAAAGATCGAATCCAATCGCCACCAGGAAAATTATTTTTGAACTGAGGTATAATGACGCCTTTTTTCTCTAAATACTCTTTTACTATGCATCTTAAATCATATTTATCAACAGGAAAACCAAACTCAGATGATTTTATTGCATATGGCTTAAACATGTCTCCCACCCGACATTAAGTCGTCTTAAAGACGTCTTAAAGTCGTCTTGATAAACGTCTTAAAGATGTCTTAAACTTGTCTAAAATGAAACACTGTAAGACGTCTGTTTGAAGATGTCTTAAAGTTGTCTTACATAAAACGTCTTTAAGTTGTCGCATGCAAGACATCTTAAAGTCGTCTAACTTAAGACGTCTTTAAAAGGTTTTAAACTGGTCAAAAATGAAACACTGTAAGACGTGTTTTGAAGACGTCTTGCAGTCGTCTTTATAACGTTTGAAAAAGTCAAAACATTTTAACTTTTAGTTTATGAACTATCCAAATGCTATAGGAGAAAAAAAGAGACATGATTTACTACCAAAAATATATTTCACGCCATCAACAACAAAAACTAAATTATAATATGTTCAATCAGATTTTCGTGATGCTGGTGCGTTTTTCAACACGCCCTGAATAAACTGATGGAATGTCTTCTCTGATTCCTTTGGATATCTTTCTAGGACAGACCCTAATAAGTGAAAATTAATAAAAATAGGTCTAGAAAATAATTGTTATTTTAGAAAGTAGCATTAGAAGACACTTACTAATCACACATTTATAAAGATTGGTTTCTTTAAAACTTCTCTTTCCGCCTCTCTGCCCATCCATGTTGAAATTTCTCATGAGAAAACAATCCAACATACTAAAAAATCAGGAGGTAAATATACAATTAAAAAACTGATAATTACAAAAGTTCCTAAGGAGAACTTAGTTTCTTATTAGCATTATATTAGCTCTGATAGCAGGTCACATGAGAATTCTGATTAGCAATTTAGCTGTAAAAATACAAATAAATGTTTTTAAAGCTGTTTTTTATTCTTAATCAACAAACAAAGCATTTTTACCGTCGCATAATCGTTCGAGTACAGTCACCTATGTTGGCACCTCCAATTTTACTCAGCCTTTCAATCTGAAAACAAATTTGATTACAATTTATTTTGTTATAATATCTTGGGTTTTCAGAATTCTTTTAACAGCCCCAAGACATATCAAATGCATATAGTCAAGGCAGAATCCAGAAACACATTTGATACCAGCAGCTATAAGAGGAGACTTATATTTCTGATGTTTCTTATATGACTGGCAGCTAAAATCTTCATCTGTTCGCTTGCGAAATTCTTGCTCTTTATTAAACACAACCCTACCTTCCCAGGTTCTTTTAATAATGCACCTTTCACAGGAAAAATATCCAGTATGACCAACAGTCCCTTTTAAAAAAGATCTTGCTGGGACATCACATAGAAAAGCTCTAACTTTAACAGTGTGTACAACTGATTTTATTGTTATACCAGATAATTTTATACAACACAATTCTTTTAAAAAATCATCTAAAAACACATCCAAACTTGATGGTTTTCGTTCCCCTGTGTATATTGCCACAATAAAAATCTTTCCACCACCAACTTCACAAAGAATCGGCCAAAATTGAGTATTGGATGATTTAAATAAAGGTAATCCGTCAATATTAAACTAAGCGATATTTCACTTTCAGAACCTGTTAAATTTTTTTTGATACCAGCTTCTAATCCAAAATAGTAATATGTGCCACCACATTTTTGAACACACTGAACTTCTTGTGGTACTTTTAAAAGAGTTTTTGCATCTTTGGGTAGCATGTTACCATGTTTTCGAAGTATATCGAGTAAACTATTCATAGCTGCTTGAGAACAATTAAACTCTAGACACCAAGATGCAAGGTCTCCTGAGAGGTTTTCTCTACTGGTGGTTGAATTAAAAGAATTTCTGTCACTAGAACTGTCGGATAAATATTCAGGTGAATCGCTCGACCGTACTTCCATATTTTCTTCCACACGTAAATTACTACAACTTTGACTGCTAGAATGAAAATAAGCTCTAACTTCTTCTTCTTGAGGTGGTGCACAGTTGACGTTACACACATCCACACTTTCTCGAGTTTCTTCTAAAACTGATTTATTTAATTTTCTCCAGTTCTTTAAATAATCTTTTCTTGATGCAGACATATTCTTAACAATTACTTTGAATGAGTTAAAACGAATTACTACTTTAACGTATTGAACAAATTAATACTTTAACGTGCTAAACGAATTACTACACTAACGTGAAAAACTTTATTAAAACTTATATTATTTATTTTTTTTATAAAATAATATGTGCAAAAAGAAACTGGTAACTATATAGTTACCATTCTTTTCTTTTCGATCATTAAAACTTATCTTCCGCATTTAATATTCGTCTTCCGCATATACTCAGAATTCTGTATCATACCGAGTATATGCGGAAGACGAATATTAAATGCGGAAGATAAGTTTTAATGATCGAAAAGAAAAGAAAAGAATGGTAACTATATAGTTACCTGTTTCTTTTGGCACATTTTATTTTGTAAAAAAAATAAAGTTTTAATAAAGTTTTTTAAAATAAAGTTCTTGAATTAATTCAAAACGTCTTAAACTGGATGTTCAGGAAGACGTCTTGCTAAGATGTCTTTAGGACGTCTTAAACCAGTTGTTCCTATTATAGCCGTTTTAAAGACGTCTTGTTGCAAGACGTCTCTAAGACGTCTGTTAAAGACGTCTTAAAGCCGCCTTATACTGGCTGAAGACGTCTAGACAAGTTTAAGATGAGTAAAAGACGTCTTAAAGACGTCTTATGTTGGGTGGGCTTCTTCTTTTAATGCAAATATTTGCTGACCACTATACTTTTTAATATTTTTACCACCATACTTTTCAAAATTGCATTACTACTACAAAATTTTTCATTCCAACATAGTAACTACCATAATATCTATAAATGATCACTAAAAAAGGTTTACTCTAATACATAGGGTGACTTTAGCCCGGGCCAATCTCACCCTATGTAGTGGGCCAAAGACAACCTACTTTTTTTTAACCTTAATTACAAAAAACTAATAAACTGTTAAGTTTTCAAAACAAGATAGAATCAAACACTAATGGTTTAAAATTAATTCAGTGTATATTCCAATAAAAAACCTTCTACAGGTACTGCTATCGATGTAAAAGTTTACACACCTAAAAAAATTTGGATTTTAGGTGCTTTTTCTAAAGTGCAATTTACAATAATATCACAAAGACTCGAGTTAAGTAAACTAAATTAAACTAAATAAATAATAAATTTCCCACAATTTGCTACTAAACATTAACCGGCATACCTTAAGGTATCGATTTTAAACCATTTTTAAACAAAAATTTCTGTTGGGCTAAAGTCATCCAATCATAGGGCCAAAGCCACCCAATTTTACGGTACATAAAAAAACAAAACAATAATTCAAAACAGTTAATAATTATTATTTAAATTAATATTCTTTAGTAAATGAAATAATTGTAGCTATAAATAAAACTGTAAAGCAAGATTGCATCCTCATTGTGAACAATTGCCGACTTCAAAAACCAATGTGGAATTAAACCACAATTGATTCAGCAAAAGCATACCGTAATAGTCTAAAATATTAGAATTATGGGTAAAGGGCCCAAAAATATATCTTGCACCGTCTAAAATTATGGCTCTCTGCGGGGCTATATATATATATATATATATATATATATATATATATATATATATATATATATATATATATATATATATATATATATATATATATATATATATATATATATATATATATATATATATATATATATATATATATATATATATATATATATATATATATATATATATATATATATATATATATATATGTATATATATTTAATTTTTTATTTTTAATAACAACAGGTTTATTTAACGAATCTCTTAAAAAAGGCATAATTACAAGTGACATTTCTGATCACTTCCCTGTTTCCTTTTCCATTAATACTAAAATGGAAACGTCACCAAATACAAATCAAATTTTTGTTAAACGTATTTTTAATGAAAAGAATTAGGAAACATTTAAAGAGCAGTTGACTCTTCTTCATTGGGGGCACATTTCCAATTCAGATGATGCTAACCTGGCTTACAACAAATCTTTTAAAACTTTTTATGATATATATGATGTTAATTTTCCAAAAATCAAAATACATTGTAAATTAAAAGTTATAAAATCCCCATGGGTTACTAAAGGGTTAAGAAAATCATCCAAAATCAAACAAAAATTGTACATTAAATTCCTAAAACTAAAAACAGATAAAAGTAAAGCTATATATAAAAGTTACGCCAAACAATTCGAACGTCAAAAGAAAAAATCTTAAAAAAATTTATTACAATGATTTACTAGAGAAATATAAATTAAATTTTAAGCGCACATGGGAAATTATAAAGCAAATCACAGGCAGTTTAAAATAAACACACTCACATTGTCTAAAACCATCAAATCAAATGATAAATTTTTGTATGATAAAGAAGAGATAGCTAACGAGCTGAATAAATATTTTGTTTCTGTTGGACCAAATTTATCCCAAAAATTCCTCAAGCAATTAATTCAATAAGTAATCTATTTATCCCTAATACATCACAATTTAATTCGTTTGAACTAACTTTTGAAGAGTTTGAATGCGCTTTTAAAATGCTAAAACCTAACAAATCAGCAGGTGCGGATGATATCAATGTAAATATTGTTATTAAATCATATGAAATCATAAAAGATGTACTTTTTAAGATTTTTTCTTGTTCTATTAGGCAAGGAATTTTTCCTAACAAACTAAAAATAGCAAAGGTGATTCCGATATTTAAGGTAGGTGATTTAACTAATGTTAGCAACTATCGTCACATTTCTATTCTATCTGCATTTTCAAAAGTCTTGGAGAGAATTTTATACAACAGAATTTATAATCATTTATCTGTAAACAATTTAATATATAGCAATCAATATGGATTCAAAAAAAATAACTCGACAGAACACGCAGTTCTTCAGTTTACAAGAAGTATTACTAACTCTTTTAAAAACTCCCAATATACAGTTGGGGTTTTTAACGACTTAGTTAAAGCTTTCGATACAATAGACTACTATATTCTTTTAAATAAACTAAAGATTTACGGTATAAACGGAAGTGTTTTACATTGGTTAAAAAGCTATTTAAATAATCTAAAGCAATTTGTATACGTTGATGTAGTTTCACCAGTAAACTTGCTTGATATAATTTCTTTTTCTAATTTACATAAACGATATATATACATCAAATGATATATATTTTTTTTCTAATTTACATCAACGATCTCCATAAAGCCTCAAATCTAATGACGATTATGTTTGCAGATGACACGAACTTATTTTTATCTCATAATGATATTACATTGTTATTTCAGAATATCAATAATGAACTAGTAAGAGTTTCTGATTGGTTTAAGACAAATAAACTTAATATTGATAAAACGAAATAGATTTTTTTCCATCCAAATCAAAAAAAAAATCTTATACCAAATAAGATACCACTGCTTTTTATTGATAATATACTTCTAAAAAAAGTAACAGTTTCAAACTTTTTTGGTATTTATAATGATGAAAATTTGTCATGGAAAAGTCACATAAAAAATTTAAGTAGTAAAATATCAAAAAGCAGAGGAATTTTGTACAAAGCAAGGAGTTTTTTAAATGAACATACATTTCTTAAACTATATTATTCGTTCATTCATTGTCACATAAACTATGCGAACATTGCGTGGGGTAGTACTAATAAAAGTAAACTGAAACTTCTTTATCGTCAACAGAAACATGTTGCTTGCCTTATTAATTTTAAGGATCCATTTACTCAAGCCAAGCCTCTATTTATTGAAATGAAAGTATATATATATATATATATATATATATATATATATATATATATATATATATATATATATATATATATATATATATATATATATATATATATATATATATATATATATATATATATATATATATATATATATATATTCAACGACAACCACAAGCAAGTCCCTAGTAGCCCAGTGGTACAACAGACTTGAGTAAATATTTTAAATGCATGGGTTAATAGCCAGCACTTTAAGTATAATTAAATGTCATCAGTTTCTTGGCCTAATGACTAAGGTCAAATGTAGTATCTCTTCTTATTTCGGCTCCGGACCATCTATCAATTAGTCACGGTGTTGTTAGAAAGCAGAAACAGCATAAGATCAAAACCGTGACAGTCGATAGAGGTTCTTGGCGTAGTCGTTTTTTCGGTAACTTTTTTTACGTCCGGAAATCTCAAGGCGATCCCTCCACTCCGGACGTTAGATGAAGATAAACCATTAAGTTGGCGCTGATGAGTTTCGGCTGAAAGGCAACAAATCAACCCTTAAGTGAGCATACACGAAGTTTCGGCTCCCTAATAACACCGCCCTTTAGGGACCTATGTAAGCCTGGTTTCATCAGCAAGTGTCTCTTGTTGGACGGATAAAACAAAAAAACAAAAACAAATGTCATCAGTGATGTTGACTAAGTCTATACTAATAATTTTAATTAAGTAACCTAATTAATAGCATGAATTGCACATTCTAACATCTTGTGCAATATATATCCGCTTCTCTATACTATCTTTTCAACTCAACCTCTTCTGACTTTAACTCTAGCTTTCTTCGTTTTTCCTAAACTCACTTACTCTTGGTCATTGAAGTGGCTAGCCCGGGCATTTGGCCCCTATATGGCAATTAGCCGGAGGAGCATAAACCGCAATACCCTTTATGTTATAAACCACGAATTTTTAAATTAATTATTTTAACGCAATGTCAAGCGCACATGTGCATGACAGCATTTTTAACCTTCTTAAGGCATTGTATATATGTGTGGTGTACATATATTGCGACTTTAGAATTATCTTGTTCTAAGCCCCTGTTTTTACAAACTGAGAAAATCGATGTCAAAGTTTGAGTTTGTTTGCTGATAAATTAAAAAAATTACATTTAAATTAAAGTTTTTCTTCAGATTTAAAATTGTTCCGTTGATCATTTTTAAAAAAACAAAAATTTCCCTAACACCCTTATCTTCCATTGCTCTTTTGGAGATAAAACAAAATAACATTAATATTTTTTAAAATACAAAAATGTTATTTTGTTACATTTTAAATATTAAATATATTAAACTCATTTTCCAACAACGACATACAGAAATCGATGAAATTTTATCTTAGCAAGTTATTATTCTTACGCATTGCAGTAATTAGGCACCACCCATA